GCCAGGTTGACCTAGGCGTCGTACACTCTTCGGCTTTACACTCCGGCGACAACTGGAAGAAGGCCGCATGTTATGCTTAATACGACGTCTTTCGGAGTCTTGACGGGCGGCATCTTTACTATGCTGTTCTCGGCTTTCGTTCGGCCTCATCTGGAATACTGCGTCTAGGCTTGTCCGCCCTGCCTCGTCCGGGACAAAATGGAGCTAGAGAGGGTTTTACGAGTGGGTACTAGGTTAGTCAATAGATTACAGGGACGGACGTACTTCGAGCGTCTACTTAATTTGGGAATGCATTCAATGCACTACCGAAGGCTTAGAGGAGACCTAATCCTAACTTACCTACGAGATCCACCCAAAACGAGCTTGTTCACTGACTCTTTCTGATGTCTAGCCAGGTTTAGCTAGGCGTCGTACACTTACGGGTGGGTACTAGGTTAGTTGAGGGATGACGGGAACGGAGGTACCCCGAGCGTCTACCTAGTTTGGGGATGCATTCAATGCACTACCGAAGGCTCAGAGGAGACCTAATCCTAACCTACCGTATCTTAATTGGGAAGCTTAGTCCAGATTTATCTTGGCTATTCAGTCCAACTAGATTGTCTGTTCTACGCGGTCATTCCTTGAAGCTGGACAAACCGCGGTCCGATCGGATTAGGGCGGAAATCCGGTTGTCACAACGAGTCATCGAGCGCTGGAACATGCTTCCAGAAAGTGTTATCAGGGAATCTACGGTTAAGGGGTTTGAGCGGCAACTTGACGCTCTTGGGTGGCAACACGAAACCTTTCTCTTTTCCTGGTTAACTCGCATCTTCATACCTCGATTTCCTTTTCTTCACGCATTGGTATTCTTTTCTTATTTCAACTGCACTTTCTTATTCTGTACCTTCGCTTTCTCTTCCTATCCTTTGCTTACTTCACGTGACTGCCACAGCAGGGACTGCTAGACAGGAAACGTGGCCATTAACTGGTTGGCCAAGGTGTGATACGGATGTTCCGTTTAAGATCCATCAAAAACTGAGCACTTCATCAATTCCTGGTTCAACTATCCACTCAAGATGGTACACTTACGGGATTCTCCTTATCATTCCAGCCCCAACCGAACTTTAACTTGATCCAAATGGAATACTGGGCTCAGGCTTGGGGCGCTTAGCATCGTTATGAGGTTACTTGTATAACAAAGACTCAAAAGCTGACAATCAGGACGACTGAAGGCTTACTTAAGAAGCCGGCCCGTGGCCTTCGGGATCACAAGCTTGCTTTTCTAATCCGGAGGTCGCGGATTTGAGCCTACGTAGGTGACCGTGTGATTGTCGCAGTATCCTCAGCCCACGCGCGACTGGTGGTGGTTGCGCGGCAGCGAGGCATCGATACTGCGTGCCGGAGTACTGCTGATCCCTTTTGCTGTCTAAGGAGCTTAGGATTATTTTCCCTGTAATGGTGCAGATTGAGGAGCGGTTGGATTAAGGTGTTTAAAATTTTGGAGGTTCTCTGTTCTTTCAAGCTAGTCTATCTGTTTGAGCTAGCTGTGTCAGACCACTTGCGCGGTGTGTACCATGCGTCCGGTGAGAACCGAATTATTCTGTGTTCATTGTGTGAGCAAGGTCGTAATAGACCTGTAGAGTTGGAAAGCGACGCAATTACTCCCTACGCGGTTAGGTATCATCACCACGACCATCTAGTAATCAATCGAGATTCATATGCAGCTGAATATATTGCTTTCTGCCAACCGATAGGGAGTAGCAGCAGCAGGAGAATAGAGCTAAGACCGGTCTGACGGAAGTAAGGGCGGGAGGGAAGGAGACAAGCTATAATATGCGTCAGTGTTCGTTTGTAGTTATGATCATTCCTCTGTGTACTTATCTTGCCTAGCATGCTTGGCTTGACGAACAACAATCACCTGGTGCCAGCTGAGTGTTTCGAGTTTATCCCGTTCCAGCAAATGGTTCTGCGGCAGTGTTCCAGGACGTGGTAGGTTTTCGCCTAACAACCCTCCCTATAAAAGTCACATATCTCCGTTAAACAGCACTGCGACGTGGCGGAAGTTACTTGCTGCTAAATAAAGTCACTACCCCTTGCTTCATTCCAGTGGGACATTATATTCTAACAACGTGATGCTGCAACTTTAGGGAGTATTGGATCCCTGTTTGGTAGCCGACCAAAGGAAAGGCGTATGAACTGAGCACTCAGTCACCGACTCCCAATAGGGGCGATTCTCTGAATTCGCTCCACTGCCTTGCGGGCAGGCTATTTAACCAGAGATACGGGGTCGTTCCCTCGGATTGGACAATCGCGTAGTATCGGGTCCTCTGACGAAACTACCAGCTTTTTTGTGTTGTGTTCGATTTTCTTTTTACGACAGCTATACTATCCTTTGATTTCCGTAGTTTTAGACTGCTCTAGGTCTATTCGTAGACTGATGCAAAGACATTTAATATAAGTCCAGAACGACCGACAGTCCAGTATGAAGCATACCATCTTTAACTTTCGGCAGCATCGTCTGTTTGGGTCCATCGCTGGTCAGCAATTTAGGGACACCAATGTAGCACTTCGGCGCCCACTGTGTCTAAAAACCGTGCTGCTAGAAACAGCAGGTGTCTTGCGAACCTTTGCATCATACGCTCGATGTTGTCTGTCCGTCGGGAGCTGTCACCCAGCTGAGCTTCTCAAGAGCTCCGCTTGGCTATTTGCAGGTTCATGTCGCTTGCAACAACTGATCACACTGCGAAGCAGCGTGTTCATTTCCTGGTAGCTTGTCCTTGGCAGCATCAGTATTGTAGTCGTTGGGGGCATACTTGGGAACCACAATCACCAACGTCTAGTGCTACTCCATGAATCAACTTTGCTGGACGTTGTCATGGACTGCACACAAATGTCTGTTTACGGGAATTCACTCAGCTAATAAAATGCCTCCATTTGGGGGCTGAGAGCGTTCCTCACCCCGGCTCGATCAGTGATTTCTGCATTAGCGTCTACGGTTGAAGTGTAACCAATGGCAGCGAGAAGACAAATCGGGCGCATTTAGTTCAACTTCCCCGTGAGAGTCATTGATACTAGTTTTGGACGTGCAGTACACTCCAATACCCACTGTGTCCAATGTACGTGCGATTGCAGCCTGCTAACCTGTTTGTCTGTTGTCAACTAATCTGGGACTAAGTAATGGGAGTTGGAAGGGGATTAGTTGAAACACATAGTATAGAAAGAAGTAAGACAACATCAATTGCTTGTTTTCATTCCTCCGCCTTGCTCTATGCGCAGATAAGGCAACCCTTTAAAGCTGCGCAATAGCCGATGCCGGATGTTGTTAACATTTGACGCATTAGTCACGGTTGTACATGGGCTGAGATACTTCCAGCGCGCCGTGACAGAACGATTCGGGTCCCCAACCAAAATCCTTGCTTCAAAAGACCGTCTGTGCACAGAACCACAACAGATTTCGGTTACCAGCACGACTAAATAAGTAATGTTATGACAGCGGTTCTCATTCTCCAGAGAGTTTGCACGGGACTTGGCATTTTTACTTCACAATCATCTTTGTAGACCTTGGAATATCAGCCCACTGAACAATGGTACGGTGCAATTTAATGAATCTGACGCTTGAATACTACACACAAAAGATATCAACAGGCTGATATTCTGTGATCACTAGTAGCTGTTGTTTATTGCTCATGTCTGATGGACACATCGATTGAGCAATACTGGCGTCTGCCACCTGGTTTTCGGAAGGTAACCCCTTTTGGTATCGTACTGAAGTGTACTGATCTTGGACCGCTCACACCGACTATGCCCTCCTTCTTTTTGTATGTCCTTGATGGCGTTTGTTTGTGTGCTACATGTGGTTTTGCGAAATCGCGAGGTGGTCAGTCGATGACATGTCATAAGAACGCAACGAAACTAACCGACAGAATTAGTTAGGCCTGTGTGCGTCATGGATGGTGGCCTCAGGATAGTCCTTACGAGTGGTGACTGTCTGAGACTCATCGGTTTCATACATACATCTACTGGTTAATATTTACTTCCGGTTGATGTTGCCCGCATTATCCCAATCCATTTGTCTTTGTATTACGTTTGCTTTATACCTTTTTTACCATTCTCCATTTCTTCTCCCGGCTGTGTGGTTCCTGACAGTTGCATTCACCGCACTTCGGTGCCCTGGTCATTGTTATTGAATCGACCTGAATTGATCGTTACAACCGTTTAGAGGACATGTTAGACCCTAGCTTATGACCGTGTGACTTAATAGTTTATTTAATCCTTCTTTAATACTAGTTGCGTTCTCCATTGCTTTTTCATCTGAGTATGCAGGGCAGGTTTATCGCGGCCTTTGCAGCTTAGCTCATGTTTGATGGGGGCACCACGTGAACAATGAGCGCGTTCGGCGTCGCGTATTTGGTGCAGGAAGAGCGAGTGAACCGCTCAGCACCGGTATATCCCGCACGAGGTCCCGATGGCTGGGCCACGTGTTGCGCATGCCAGCCCACCGACGCCTGCGACGTTCGGTGTTTGCGCATCGGGGATGTAGATGGATGGAGAGGAGACGAGGCCAAGCGATGACATGGTCGAGGGGGATGAAGTCCCTCACTTCAAAGTTGGCGTCAGTTAGTGTTTCCCCACTGCCTGGCTTGGGACCGAAGGATGATGAGCACGTTTGGTTACATATACTAGCTGTCATGGCGAAGATTCGACGTCAGTGACGCTTGCGTTGTGAATCTCTTTGTCCATCCCCTTCCCTTTAGCTAACCCTCCAACAACCGTCATATTTGCATTATGTTGCTCTTTTCGTAGCTTTTAAGTATACATTGGTTAATGTCGTACTTTTTCTCTTGCTTCCCATTAGCTGACGTGTGTTTCTCACTCTCGGCTAACGTGCATTGATGATGATGATGACATTTGCGCTTTCACTCAGCTTGCAATGAAAACTCGTTTAAGGATTCACTCTTACATGATCATATTTGCTCTGACTTCTTTTTCTTGTTTACTTAACGTTACGTTACTCTTTTTTAGCCATCTCATGAACGTGGAATCCTCACTTTGCAGACTGTAAGCTTGATCAGACCACATAGTTGGACTGCACCTCGAATCGCCGAGGAATATACCATTTATTACTTAATTTGTTTTTGTCACAATGACTTACAATCGCCTCTCCTCCACTTCTGTTCCCTGCCCCACCTGTCGCGGCACCGGTAACCTTCCGAAAGGTTAGTGTTCTGTGCTTCGCGCATCACGCATTGTAGACTCTGTCGCTGAGTATGTTGCGTTGATCCCGCTCTCCGACAGTCGACTTCGACCTCGTCGTACATGGCTTAAGATCGCAGCGGCTGTCGCACTTTGCCTCACCGTGTTCACATTGTTACTGACATTTTTATTCCCTCGTGCTATTCGGCTTAGTAGCACAGAACCAAAAGTGTATCCGTCCTCATCTATGATCGATGATAACTTGGGCACCGTTGATCTTGATCTAACAGTAAGTGCCTCTTGGATTTTTTGAGTTCTGTCTCTCTACGTGATGTCGGGAAGCGTCCATTCTTCCCTTTGACCAGCCAGTTTTGTTTACCCTATGTAAACACGTCTCATCGTTCTTTTTATTTTTGTCTCTAATTACTATTTGCAGAACCAAACAACAATCGTGCAATTGTTCGGTTCTCCGTCTGCCCAGCTGGTCTTGAACATTTGCTGATGAGACTGAGACTGATTATTTAAGAGCAAGTAGAAAGGTCTCTGTACAACTCTATCGAAGCACGAAAAATCAAAAACATTTAGTTGTGAATCATCAGCAGCATCTGGTCCGTTAATCTTATCCTTGTTCGGTTAGGAATTTGTACTAGTGTCATTATTTTCGGGCATACAATGTCTTCTTTTGGCATTGTATGTGCATCGTTTCACAAAAGCACAGTTTTCCAAAATAATCGTCGATACGGGTTTCAAAACACTTCGCAGAATCGGCCTCTATTAATCCTTTGGGTAGTGTATTCCATAAGTTTATGATTCTTCGTTCGATACAAAGGTGATGTGATACTTCGTTCATGTTGGGGACCCTGAGTTTGTAACGGTGTCCTCGGGTGTTACAGGGTTCCCGCAGGTGAAATATTGGCCGCAGTATGGGGGAGTGATTTAAGTGTAGCACTCGATGGGTCATAATAAGAGCAATTCTTACTCGGCGATAGGGCAGTGTGTAGAGTCCGAGCCTTTCACAACGTTTTTCATACGGAAACTTTTGTAGACTCGGTATCATTCTAGTTGCGATATGCTGTATTTTCTCCAGCTTTTCAGTTTCCCATTGGGTTATCGGATGGTAAGCTGGGACACCATATTCAAGGATTGGTCTAATGAGCGAGGTGAATGGACGTGGGACGGTTTCTTCGGACCATGTGGAGAAACTGCGTCGTAATGCCCAGAGCATACGAAGTCCCGCACGGTACAATTTCTATGTATTTTCTAGTGATCTCATATCATGGCGTGAGAGAACTCCTAAGTCTCTGACAGTTGTGTTGGGATGGAGCAACTGGCCGTCCAAGGTGCATGATCGCCTGGCTGGACGTCTGTTGATACTGAGGAACTCCGCCTTGCTTGCGTTAAGAGGGAGTTGCATTTCAGTGGACCACGTTGACAGTCACTCTAACTCATGCTGGAGGCGAGCGCATTCGTCCTGGTTCTCAATGATCCTCCAGATTTTCAAATCATCTGCAAACAGGGCGCATGGTGACTGGAGCTGCCGTGGAAGATCGTTGATATGAATAAGAAATAATACTGGCCCAAGTACAGTTCCTTGAGGCACGCCACTGGTCGATGGGAACCAGTCTGTCAGGTAGTCATTGACCTGTACCCTAAACTTTCGTCCCACAACAAACTCGTGTAACCACTGAAGTAACGTGCCACCCATTCCGTATGTCCTCAGTTTACCAAGGAGTACCTCGTGCTTCACTGTCAAACGCCTTACTAAAGTCGATGTACACCACGTCCACATCCTTCTGTTCGTTGAGAGCTCGTACCCACTGGTGGTTTGCATACATCAAGTTGGTGATGCAGGATCGCCCTTTCGTAAAGCCGTGTTGCGCTGGCGTCAATACGTCCATCGATTCGAAGAACGATAGCAAACACTTTTTCACAATCCTCTCGAGCACTTTGGATAATACCGAAGTCAAACAGATCGGTCTATAGTTCTCTAGTTTACTCGGGTCACTACCCTTGGGAAGCGGTCTCACTATCGAGCATTTCCAGTCGTTCGGGACACATCCTTCAGTGAGCGATTTATTGAAAAGGTTTGTCACGGCTGGTGAGATGATAATCGCTAGGGCCTTGAGTATTAGTGGGTGATGTCCGTCTGGTCCGGGGGGCTTTGCACCGTCTAGGTTGACGAGTAGCTGGTACACTTCGACTGCATCACATTGTAGGCTGTTGAGCAAGACTGGTGCAACGTGTGCCGGTACTGAAACCGTCGCCGGTTTACTGGAAAATACAGTGAGGAAGTGCGTAGCCAAGGCGTCCGCGCGCTCCGCGCTTGAAATGAGCGTCTTTCCGTCTAAGCTCTCTAAGACCGGTAGGTCGCCCCCAGGTTTCAGTTGACGTTTCAAGTAGGCAAATATTCTTTTGGGTGCAGTTGTGGCCGAGGATGCTAGCTCCACTTCGAACTGCCGGCGTTTCTTGATCTTTGCATCGTTACATAAGTTTCTTGTACACTGTGTTATGTTCATCACAACCCGAGCTGATGTATCTATCCCAAAATTTGCGACGCCGTCGCGCTAACTGTCTATATTCCGTATCAAACCAATGCGGTTTGACAGGTCCGATTTTTGAATACTTAAGGTGGAACGAACCGAGTACAGAGCGAGTTAAGCTTCCCCTTCATTAATGACCAACAGGCCTCAAGTGACGCATCCTGTGGTAGTGTCCAATCAGTCTGACTTGCAGCTTAGACGAGCCCGTTGAAGCCCGTCTTCCAATAGTTGAATGTCGGCTTCCGTTGATTGTAATATGGTAACGACAGTTCTGAGCTTGCCACAATGGAGCAGTGGTCGCTGTTCACCAAAGGTTCCATGACTCTGCTCTCGTTTAGCTTCTGCTCGCAGCTCGTAAACATTAGGTCTAGACAAGATGCCGAGTGCGGAGTTACGCGCGTCGGTTGGATGACATGTTGCGTTGCCCCGATTTCAATAGTCATTTTAGCGAATTGTGCCTCAACGTTGCCATGACCGGGAAGAAGTCGAACGTCTGACCAAAATACCTTAGGTAAATTTAGATCCCCCATCAGTAAGAACTGAGGGCGGCACATGTGCTTCCGTACATGTGGTAGCCAATCACAACAACGGTTTAATGGGCTCCAGTAGCTAACCCCCACCATTAGTTCTGCGCGCCTGAGGCGAATTGTGCACCACAATTGCACGCATAAACTATCCTCGCTCCGATAGGTGCTGGTAAGTTTGCCTGATAGTGACGATTTTATGTACAACCACACCACCGTGAGCCTGGTTTTCGGTCGCATCGGAAACAAGAGTATCCTGACAGCGCGACTTCTTGGGGTATGACGTCGGAGTTCAGCCACGTCTCTGCAATTCCTAAAACGTCCAGCCGCTCCGAGACAACGAAGCGACACAGTTCGTCACGTTTGTTCATTAGGCTGCACACGTTGGCTAATGCCACACGGAGGTCCTGGGAGGTACTGCGGTACGTGTCTGGAGGTTGAGCAACCGGTTGATACGGGTTCGTACACCCTACTTGATTACCCGAAAATTTACAATTTGTAAGTCAGTCTCACCTTCCTATGTACGGCGTTTGAGCTCAATGACCGCAGTCTCCGAACGATCCTTGTCTTCGGGTTCCAAGTCTCGGCGGATGTGAACTTTTATGCCTTTCAACCTTGACAGATGAGACAGTATGAGCTGCGGCATATTGGGATTTGCAAAGGTGATACTTAGAGGTCGACATGACTGGTTGGTTTTCTGGCTAAGTCGGATTACTTGTTTAATCGTCACACTGTCTTCGCCCACATCCAAGAGTCTATCGATGAGCCCCTGGAAGAACTCAGTATCGTGATCATAACGTATCTGAGGGTTTTAATCTTTTGACTCCGATACGTGGAAGACCATGAGATTATGACGCCTCAACGAAATCAGTGCTGAACCTATGGGAGCAGAACTAGAGGCGCTTAACTGATTGGATTGTTGTTTATCAGCAGGTGACGTCTGAACTCGATTACGTGGGCCCTTGCGCTTTTGAGTGGTCCATGGATCCTCGGTGTTCAGAAGTTCACAGTCAGCCTCTGAGAAATTCACGGACCGATCAGTGAAGCGGCATTTCGTAGCTTCCGAGTCTGAGTCTTCCGTCGATTGGGAACATTGAACCTGAGGCTCGGCCGGGGTCGAAGACGTTAGTGGTGGTGCAGATCGCGGAGTGACAATAGAAGGCGAGGTGACAGAGGTACTTTCACGAGGGCGTTTGATCCTACGTGGTGAACGGTTTGTTTCTATCTGAAAGATTTTCCTGTAGTTTTTTTTTGCGTTGTCTGCGTATTCTGATGTCTTGATGTAGATGATTCACTCCGCTTCCTTTGCGTTTAGCTGGGTTTCTGACTCCTTTTATTCTGTACCTATCGCAATCTGTACCAATCGCAATCGCAGCATTGAAGTTAAAAGCGCCGTTCATTTCTAAGCCCTAGCACCCTACTGAATGATATATATATATATATACATATATATATATATACATATATATATATAGTCAACTGTTTAAGAACTGGACATGTATCCATCAAAAACAGTGGAAATCAGAGGAACGTTCAATGTGACAAAATATAAAACGAAACATTTTAGTTTGTTTTTCACACGTCGATTTTTCTCTTTCTTGTCCTTTTTAATCTTTTAAGTATTTAATTTGTAACTCAGTGCATTTCTGTACACTTTTCTTCCATGGATTCCTGTTGTGATCCATATCTTTAAACGTGGTAAGCCATTGACACTCCTCAACCTTGGATACCATCCAGAAAGACTTAAGGGGAAAAACGGTGACTGTACGTGACGTCAGTGATTTTATGTGCTTTCCCCAGGTGGATGGCTAAGCTGCACGCAGTCGATTTGTCGGTCATGGATTCGATCCTCACTAGAGGACCGAGGGAATGCGCGCCACTGACGAGCCCCAATAGGGCGAAACGCGTCTGGCGCTTTTCCGGACTAGGCTCTGCTATGTAGCTTGTGAACTGTTGGGATGAAAGCCTTATCAAATCGAGAAGTCTTGCCAAAACACTTTCTGTCAGTCATCCGGAAATCTAAATAAACCTGGTGATCCCTGAAGAAAGCGCAGACTTTTGCACGTAAGTCTGATAAACGCAGGACTATTTTGTTACCGGAGAGCCATCCATACTTCAATATGGATCAGTAAAGATGTGTGGACACTTCCCGTGTCGTCGTCACACAGAATCTTGAAAGATCGGTTGTTCAGAGGCCAAAATTTAATGAAGTTAATTATTTCTCT